AATGGAAGCAAGTCTTTATAAGTGGTTTTTAAATCAACGCGAAAAAAAGTGTACATTAACTGGGCCAATACTAAAGGAGAAAGCCAAACAAATATTCAAAGTGGAATATCTCGATAAAGATGAAAGTACATTTAGCGCAAGTGATGGATGGTTTAGCAAATTTAAAAAACGACACGGAATACGTTTTTTAAAAATTTGTGGCGAGATTCTCTCTAGTGATGTTGCTTCAGTCACCCCGTTTATTCACAGATTTCGTGCAAAAGTCGATGAGATGGGGCTAATGGAGTCACAAATATATAATGTAGATGAAACCGGATTATTTTACCGTTGTTTACCTGACAAAACATACGTCTCTCTTTTCGAGAAAACCGCCCCCGGGTATAAAATCCAGAAGGAACGAATTTCAGTGTTACTTGGTGTAAATGCTGATGGATCACATAAATTAATGCCATTAGTAATTGGAAAAGCAAAAAAACCAAGAAGTTTCCAAGGATTCAATAATCCACTCCATTACAACTTTTCAAAAAATGCTTGGATGACATCTCGGATTTTTCATGATTGGTTTCACAAGATATTTATTCATGAGGTAAGAAAAAACTTTGTTTTTAGGTTCAGTAATTCCAAAATATTTTCAATTCACAGGTGATTCGTTTCTCTCAGGAAAATAATTTGCCTCCGAAGGCAATTTTGCTAATTGACAACTGCTCTGCTCATGCACCAATTGAGAAACTTCAAAGCGACGATGGAAATATAATTGCATTTTTCTTTCCACCAAATGTAACAGCAACTTTACAACCAATGGATCAGAATCCTATTAAGTTAACCAAGCTAAACTACAGAAGTATGCTTCTTTCTCAATTAATTGCTGAAGGAGGTGACCTCAAGGTTCGCTTGAAATCCTTTTCAATTCGAAATGCAATCATGCTATTAAAGCAAGCTTGGTATGATGTTCCAGAAAGAGTAATAAAAAAGTCCTGGTCAAAGTTGAACAACTGGGACTCTGATCAGTATGAAAGTGATGACGATGATGTGCCACTAGCACAGCTACTGCAAAAAGATCAAGACTGCAATGGAGCTCTTCAGGCAGCTCAAGCACTTTTAACAGAAATAGAGCCAACTAATAACATTAGCATACCAGAAATTGAAATATGGAACAATGATGTGCTTGATGACGACCCTGCACATGATCTCAATAGCGATGATGAGTCTTCAGGTAGCAGCGAATTTGATGACCGGGAGGTCTTACCAGTTGCCTCGACTTCTACAGCCATTGAAAGCGTCAATAATTTAATAAAATGGTGTACTTATAGTGAATCGTTTTCCGCAAAGCACACAAGCAATCTGCTAGCTCTTCGCAATGAGATTGTTATTGCAGAAACAAATAAAAGGAAGAAGCAAACAGCAATAACAGACTACATGCCTGCAAATTAGTTACGAAGTTTTTGATTAATTTTTGGCTGTTTTAATGTATATTTATCGATCTCTTATGTATTTTTGATAAAAAAAAATATATTTACTGTAATTGGAGTTTTTGTTTTTTGGACCTTTTTTTGACTTAGCGCATAAATACATATATGTATATTGGATTGTTACCTTATGTTTTCTCGTTTTTATGAATAAAATTTAGTAAGACAAAATTTCATTGTAGTTTTTCAATGCAAATTGACTTAAATTTTAAGGTTTTATTGAAATAAAAAAACGTCCAGGAATTAGAATTTTTCAGAAATTAGAATCACCCTAAAAACAAAGTGGTTCTAATTTGTGAGCGTCTACTGTAATTTGAAAAGAAGAAAATCGGTGGATAAATAAAAAAAAAGTATGAAATACATATGAGCAGTAAAGAATGTTACTCATACGCCATGTACTATTGTGTAGACACATTTTCATATGACATTTCACATCTTTTTTATTCACATATCTATCGACTTTCTTCGTCAGCAGCATGCTTTTTTTGTTAAGGAACAGGCTTTAATACAAATGAAAAAAATTTAGAAAAAATACTAAAGTTTTTCCCTGTTAAATTTGGATTTCTTTTTATTTTTTCATAAACAAATTAAAAATCTGGATTGATTAATAAATTTTCCAAAGGATATAAAGTTTATAAAAAACTGATGTACGTACATGTATATATACTGTTTATAGGGAGTTTTCTGCATTTCATTTGCTACATTTCGTATAAGATATACGTGATTAAGTGGAACCATTTTTTTTAAGCTGAATAACGGTAAATTGCAAATATCTCGAAAACTTATATATGGAAAAAATACTTAATTTCGGAATCAGCAAGCGATTCTGCATGGGAATTGGATAGTGGCAACCGCTGCTAAATTCGTTGTATACCAGTGCTTAAATATAAAAATGTTATGATAGTGTTATGAATATAAAAATGTTATGATAATGTTATAAATATAAAAATGTTTGTGTGTTTTCCCTTGCTCTATTCCGACACTATAGAAGTTGATGTTTTTTGAAATGTTTTAAGTTTTTATTTGCCTTAACGTATGTATTTGAAAAAAAAAGATATTAATTTTTGATATTCCAATAATAAGATTCGTGTTATAACGTTAGATAAGTAGTTATAGTTTCCAGTTGCCATACTAAAATCCCATGAAAATTCACTATTTTGCTACCATCTCCCTCACTACCAGCGTAATTCTTTTCAGCTCTAAATCGATCTGGATCTTGCTTTAGCAACCGAATTAATGTCTGGCATATTAATTTTAGATTCATTAGTACTTAACCAACATCATATTCAATTTTGAGCTTTACTAAAAAGGATTTGAAAAATAAATTTTTTTTTATAAAAAATGACGTCTGGCACAAAGTAAGCAAGAACGGACATGTCTGACAATAATAAATCTATGTTTCTAGAAGTTAGTTAAAGCCAATAAAAATAAAATTAGCCTTACTAAAATGACTTAAAAAATTAGCATTTTTAACTGTAAAGATACGATGCGCACTAGCCAACGCAAACATTACCGCCTGCCGGATGGCCCCCACGCTAACCGAGGGAGTGAAAGAGATGTCATATCAAAAAACCAGCTGACCTGAAATTCCTGCTCGAAAACGTTGCTAGCTCTTAAGACTATTACTGCAGTTTCCGCCTATGGCAAAAAGGTGATTACAACTCGAAGGAGGTAATTGCTCATATTAAGTAGAAGCAAAGCAAAAAAAGGAAAAATTTATAAATAAATCTTGCTGATCAATCCATGCTAAAATTTTTGGTACTTAACTGAACTCCTAATTGCAGTTAAGCTTTTGGTGGAAATAGGCTATAAAACTGTACTATGTTGACATTTGAAGAAATAGTTTTACTTAGATACTTATCTGAATTCCAAAAATTCAAAACGCCATTTTTTTTTTGTTT